TTGAGACAGTCTTGCTCTGTTGCCTAGGCTGGAGTGCAGTGGTGTGATCTCGGCTCACTGCACTCTTCACCTTCCAGGTTCAAGCAATTCTCCTGTATCAGCCTCCCGAGTAGCTAGGATTACAGGCGCATGCCGCCACGCCCGGCTAATTATTGTATTTTTAGTAGAGACGAGGTTTCACCATATTGATCAATATGGTCTCGAACTTCTGACCTGAGGTGATCCACTCGCCTCGGCCTCCGAAAGTGCTGGGATTACAGGCGTGAGCCACCGCGCCCGGCCGAAATGTTTGACTTTCCTTTTGTCTTTGGCAGTCGGTGTGCATTTTACACTTACAGAACATTAAACTCCGACAAGCTGCACTTCAAGCGTCTCATAGGCACAACAGTGGACCGCGAGGCCCTAGAATGCAGCACCCGCCAATCCCTGCAGCCAGAAATGAAGATAGCAGAGGAGGTATCACTGCTAGTTTGGGACTAAGAAAGGCAACGTCAAGAGGAGGCAGCCCCTGCGATGACGATACCTCTAGGACAACCTCCACTCGTCCCCCACCCTGTGCAGGAACTAGCAAGGCTGCAAGAGAGGCAGAGCGCAAAGCACCGCCGGAGCCGCGGGAAAGGGCGGGGCGGGAAAGTCGGGGGATGGGGGCCGGGGAGGCTCGGCGGTGATCCGTACGCATGCGCACCCCGCCAGTTCACTGTGCCCGCCTCCTGGCGCCCCAGCAACCGGGTTGTGAACCACCCTCTACCCCGACTAAGTGGCCATCCTGAGAGTTCTAGTGCCACTAGCCGGCTTCGGCTCTTCCCTGTCTTGTCATTTCTGCTTCTTTCCTCCACGGGTGCCGATTTCATGTGTGTGTCCCCGAGTGCCTAAGCCGGCTCCTAAAATGAGTATTCGTGTTTTCCGCGTGGGAACCAACTTCGGGCACTAGTGGCCCGCCCTCCCTGGGCTGAGGTGGCTGCTGGGGCTGGGGCTGGGGCTGCTCCTGAGGCTTCAGGCTGTGTGCTGCACGGCTTTCTACCTCCCCGGGTTAGCCGCGGTCAACTTGTGCCAGGCGGAGCGAGAAATCGCATTTTGTCAGGTAAGGAGTAGACGGAGGCAGTGAGTGTGAGGGGAAGCTTCGGGTAGGGGTGTGGGGCCGATCGGGAACGACCAGGGTCGAGAGCTCTTCGACTTGGAC